TTTCAAGCAATATTCCTAGAGAGGCCTAAGTGGGTAATATTTTATTATCCCTAAAATCGTAAAATTATCTATGTAAAAAGACACAATAAGATAGATTATAGAGGGGAGAAATGTCCAAATTTGCTCTATTAGGTGATGTTGAAATAACTCAATTTTGGTAAATGCTCTTAAGTTAGTATAATTATTGCTAAAGAATAAACTACAACCCATTAAATTATGCTGCTTTTCTTCTATATCAGGATGTTAGTCTTGATTAGAGTAAATTCATTTTAACTTTGGTTTAACTTCATGAAAATTTCCATTAGAAAGAAAACTTGCCTTTTATAGTATTCTTTTATAGTCTCAGTTTTCATTATAATCTTAATAGTCAAAAAGCAAAAAATTATTTTACATTTAAAAACAAGCCCTGATTTTACCACTAGACTTTCTTTTCCCCCTATTTCTTGTTTAAAGCTAATACTTTTCATTTTTTGCCATAAATTCATGAAGATTAATAATAGTTCATGCAAAGTTGAGTAAATCTTTCAGAAGAAAATCAATATAAATAAAAGCATAAGTAAAGGAGTATCTCCCTGAAGATGTAAATTCTTTCTCTGAGGGAACACGTGCCCCCACCCCCACCCCCGTTCATGAATTTGAATTTCTTGCACAGTGGGGAGGGGGGGGTTCCTTCAGCCTGGCCTGCATCCTCTCCAATCTGGGATCCCTCTTGCACTCCAGGACCACTGCTCACCTGCCTTCCTGCCTGATTGTCCCTAACTGCCTCTGCCTGCCTGCCTGATGCTCATAACTGCTCCCCCCTGCCCACCTGAGCACCCCTAACCACTCCCTTATTGGCCTGATCGCCCCTAACTGCTTCTGCCTTGGCCTCCGCCACTATCGCTTTGCCCGGAAGGACATCTGGATGACGTCTGTCTAGCCTGTGTAATTAGCATATTATCCTTTTATTAGTATAATTTCAGCAAAGGTTAATGAAAAAGGTTAATGAAGATAAAATTAAATGGAGGGTTAATAAAATTTCTCAGGGAAAGGGACGAATTGGAAACTAAGATGTCCCTTCTCCCCTTTTTGAAAAGGGGGTTAGTACAGACATGCATTAACTTTTTTCTGTTAAGGACCAAATCCCTATTTGGCATCTTAGAGAATTGTTCTGATTTGGGAGTTTCAGACAGATCTACCCCTTGTCTTCCTCTCTAATGCTTTCCAAACTCCTGTGTTAGTATGTACATATTACTGGTCATCCTTTATGGGTTTGTTTCTTACTGTTATCCTTCCTGTAATAGCTGATCTGTTTGTGAGGAAAGGATTTTAATATGTTCTTGTGAGCGCAAGTACTCTAAAAGGAGCAGTGCCTGTTAAAGAGACTTTTGAGGGGAAAACTGGGGAAGGGGTTGTTTTTTATAACCTGATCCTGTGGGAAAATAATTATCCCTTATATGTATTATAGATGCTCTTTAATAAATTTGTATTAGAAAAGAGAAATAATGTCCAGTTACAAGAAGTTGCAGATAGGCTGCTTTCTGCTACAGAAAGTTTAAGCATTTAGGGTAAGGTGGTTCATTGTATCTGCCCAGTGATAGGAAATTGGTAAAGAGTTCAGTGTTAAGCATAGATTCACTCTAAGACTTACTGACAACATCAAAGTAGAAGATAAGGCATAGGGGTTATTATTCATGAATGAAAATGTTCACATTTATATGTACTTGATACAAAAACAAATGAAACAGCAATTTGGAACTTAAAATACATTGTCAAATATGAAAAAAAAAAAAAAACCTGTTTAAAATTTGTGGGGAGGGCTTGGGTAAGCAACCTAAAGGACAATCTACACTAATAAAAGAGAAAGATGCAAATTGACTGTACCTCTATGACACCCACCAGCCAATTAGGAGCGAGTATGCAAATTAATCCAACAAAGATGGCGGGTTAATTTGCATACACAGGCATGGAGCGAAGACCGAGCGCTCCGCTGTGGCCCGGGTCCCGAGTGCCAGAGGAAAACTGGTGCCGGCAGCCAGGGGAAGGAAGGCCTATTGCACAAATCTTCATGCAATGGGCCTCTAGTATACTATAAATGTAATCTTGTTGTCTTTACTAGTGTTTTGTATATATACTAATGTTGGCATTTTGAATATAAAATTTTTTCATCAAAAGGAAAGATTGACTTTAAGGACCTATCTATCCTTTATGGTTAAAACTGCTGCTTTATTTTAGATCATCTCCTGTACACATCATAGCTACTAGCAAAAGTTTACATTCCTATGCACGCCCTCCACCAATGTCCTCCTCTTCGAAGAGCGAGCCAGCCTTCCCTCACCACTGGAAGGAGGAAACACCAGTCAGACATGAAAGGGTGAGTTTATTCATGAGATTAAACTTTCACAAAGTTTGCTCAACAGTTATAATATATTAACTTTACCTCTAAAAAAGTCTTTTGAAGCACATACATATGGAAAAATAGCATGTCTGATTGTTCTAGTGATCTAGGTTTGATTTTATGTACAGCTGTGTTAATTGGTAGGAAAGTTTGTTTCAAGTGGAGAATATATATTTAACTAAAACTTTCAAAAACTTCAGTTTTAAAAGGTATTTTTTTGCCCCAAGCTTAGAATGATTAAGTTATCCCGTATTTAGAAGAGAACCTGAACTCTTAAGCTGGAGACAGATGGTAATAAGGTACATTTAAAAATAAACAGTTTATAATGTTTTTCTTCACAGGCAAATAGTGAGTCAGAATCTGGCATTTTCTGCATGTCCTCCCTCTCAGATGATGATGATTTGGGATGGTGCAATTCCTGGCCTTCAACTGCTTGGCACTGTTTTTTGAAAGGTGAAAAAAAAAGGACTTGAATTTGTTACAGCTTACTTATGCAGCACACTATCACATAACTAATAGTTGTTTTTACTTAAACTTTAGGCACACGACTATGCTTTCATAAGGGAAGCAATAAGGAATGGCAGGATGTTGAAGATTTTGCTAGAGCTGAAGGCTGTGATAATGAGGAAGATCTCCAAATGGGCACTCACAAGGTTGATTTAAAATTTCTAAAAAAAAAAAATTTAAATGAAACATAATGTTTATTGTTGTTCTGCAGGCATATCCTCCATTTACTTTCAATTTAAATCTTAAATTGTAGGTAGTGGTTTTGTGTTGTTGCTTAGCCTGAAGAGAGGCTTTAGGTTTACCTTGGTAATTATGTTTTCTGAGATGGGAAAACCAAACTGGCATTAAAAATAAATGATCCCTGCCCAGCTGGCGTGGCTCAGTGGTTGAGCTTCGACCTATGAACCAGGAGGTCATGGTTCCATTCCCAGTCAGGGCACTTGCCTGGGTTGTGGACTCAATCCCCAGTGTGGGTTATGCATGATGCAGCCGATCAATGATTCTCTCTCATCATTGATGTTTCTCTCACTCCCACTCCCTTCTCTGAAATAAAAACAGTATATATTTAAAAAACAAACAAATAAATGAGCCCTGGCCAGTGTGGCTCAGTCGGTTGGAGTGTGGTTTAGTATACTGAAAGGTTGCAGGTTCAGTTCCCAGTCGGGGCATTATGGAAGGCAATCCAGTCAATCAATGTTCTTTTTCACATCTATGTTTCCTGACTCCCCTCCTCTAAAATCAATAAATATATCCTTTGGTAAGGACTAAAAGTAAATAAATGAATAAACAAACCAAAACCTTATCTTTGGTAATCTTACAAGGTGGTTAATTCTCCTATGGGTAATTAAAAGTTGATTATTGTTACTTTTAAATGGGGAAGGCTGGCTCCCAGTTGTGCCACCCCCCATTCTCACTGGTCTGATCGCCCCTAACCACAAAGCCCCACCACCGTGGCTTTGTCCGGAAGGAAGTTGGATGTCCGGAAGATGTCTAGTCACCTGGTCTAATTAGCATATTTGTTGACACCTTTGTCTTTGAAATCTTTAATTTCTTTACTATAGGTAGACAAATTGGGCATGTGAATGAAGTGCTTCTTTAAAATTCCTGTTAGTTATCCCGATGATAAGTTTCTTAGAAAATTAGTCCCCACGTGGCTGCCTTCAGTTCTCCCCTCTTCATTGTAGTGCTTTGTCATAGTCTGACTTTGGCCTATATCACTCTCCTACAGTTTCAAAGGTTATTAGCTTGATTTGATTGCTATAGAAGCTTCTACTTGTTCTGTTTGATATCTCTTCAACATCTGACAGAGTGGATGAGTTCCAAACATTGTTTTGATTTGTGTAGCCTGGCAGTGCCCTGATTTTTGAGTGGTGGTTTAGCTGCCATAATGTTGAATGTAAGCAAGTTTCTGTTCCCTTTCACTCTCTTATTCAATTCTTCGCTGAAAATGTCAGCGTCACCTCCTTGTGGCCTGTGGAAAGCACTGTGGACTTGGAGTAGGAAACCTGGGCTCCCATTCCAGCTCTTCCAGTAACTATTTTTGTGAGTGATCTGGGGCAAATAATTAAGCCAGTAGACACTGGCTTCCTGATCTGTAAACTGGGACTGGATTCGTTTTAAAGTTTTGTAGCCCCAAGAATTAGAAGATTCTGTAATTAAGATTTTTGCAAATACATGTCTGTAGCCTTTGTATGTTTCCAACTGCATGTTAGAACTATTTGTACATGAAGATCAGTTATTCAAACTTGGGTTATTAGTATAATCAAATCTGTATTCACCTTTTTAAGTTCTCCTTCCTGGCAACTCTGTTCTTTTAAAGGTATTGTTATCCCTGATTACCAGATTCCAAACCAGGATGCTGGCTATTCCCTTTCCTCCCTTCATATTTAGTTATCAGTTCTATTTCCTTAAAGATTTTTACAGTCATTCTTCTCTCCCATTCTTTACTTTGTTTTGTTTTTAAATGTTTTTATTGAGTTCAGAGAGGAAAGGGAGAAAGGCAGAAACATCAATGATGAGAGAATCATAGATCAGCTGCCTCCTGCTCGTCCTCAGCCCCCTTCCTACTGTGGATTGAGCTTGCATCCCAGGCATGTGCCCTTGACTGGAATCAAACCTGGGACCCTTCAGTCTGTAGGTCCACACACTATCCACTGAGCCAAACCACCTGGGCCCCGTTCTTTACTTTGTTCATGCACTAGAGGTAGTAATAATTGGATGTTATAGCTAGGTGTTGGCATGTCTTTCTCTGTTTTTCTGTGAAGAGTAGGGATTGTGTGTTATTGATTATCTTTTCAGAGTCTAGCATGTACTAAATGCTTAATAAATATTTGTTGAATTTAAATTTAGGCTGATTCTACCACTACTGTACTTGTCAATTCAAGACTAGTGGGCTTCTCTCATTCTATTTTGAAATAAGTTGAATATTAGAGGTAACTTTTATTATGAAGTCATTTATCATCTTAAATGAACAATCTTAATAAAAATACTTTTATTGACTTCCTAATACCCTCTAAAAGGAAAGTTGGACCATTTTGCCTGTCTCTAAGGCCCTTTACTAACTGGTCTGGCTCCTCTTCAGTACTTGTCCCAACTTTGAATTCATCTTGTATTTTTAGAAAATACTCAGTGCTACCCCAAAGCAGTTGTTTATTATAACCATTCCTGGTGTAAGGCATGTTCTTATACATTTCTAAATTTCATTTCTTTTAAATCCCAGTTCAAAGGGGAATCGTATTAGAATTATTTATACTCAGACTAAAATGTTTATTCCACTCTTATGTTGTAGTGATTTATATATGTGCCTTTGTTCACGACTGGGTCACAAGCCCCATAAAGACAGGAATCCTTTTTGCTTATTTTTACCTTTTCTACAAAATCTTAACTGTAGTAGGAACGTCACTGTGTGTTAAATTGAATGTTGCCAATTCATTTAATATATGCATGTATTTTCAGGGCTATGGTTCCGATGGTCTGAAGTTGTTATCACATGAAGAAAGTGTATCATTTGGCGAGTCTGTACTGAAGTTAACTTTTGATCCTGGTACAGTAGAAGATGGTTTACTGACTGTAGAGTGTAAGCTGGACCACCCTTTCTATGTTAAAAATAAAGGTACGGCTTCAGTTTGAATTTGTAGTAACTTAAAAAAGAAATCTTAAATTTGTAATATGTCTTGTGGCATAATTCTTTGGTGGTTAAGAAAAAGAATTTGAAGGGAAAATTTCAAACTAAATAAAACTATCTTAGGAAATGCCCTCTGATGCTTAAATGTCTTAGTGGTAGTCAGACTGAGCTCTACTTCCGGTGGCTATCAAAAACTTCAATTCATGTAGCATGAATATCTTGGTATATAGTTTGGGGAAGGGAGTATTTTAGTAATTGCATTTTGGTTTAGGTTTACTAAATACGCTGTATACCCAAAACACTTCAGAGCCTTACTGCAATATCACCATGTTACACATAATGCTTCAAGAGTATTTCATGGTCTCACTTATTTTCATTTATGCTGATTGATAGAACCTATGAATAAAATGCTAAATTAAACTACATTTTGGAGGGTTAGTGCATTGCTTAAAGTAAATACTTAGTTGGCTTTATGGCAAATATAAATTACTTGTATTTGAAAAATCTCAACTTAAAACTTTTTTAAGACTCAAATGATATATCTCTCTTATAATAAATAATTTGGGTGCTTTCTGTCTATCCCCATCTTTGATGCAACTATTGTTTACCTTTAGGTTGGTCATCGTTTTATCCAAGTTTGACTGTGGTACAGCATGGCATTCCATGTTGTGAAATTCATATTGGTGATGTATGTCTACCTCCTGGACACCCTGATGCCATTAATTTTGATGATTCAGGTGTTTTTGATACATTTAAAAGGTAATACTGCACTAATTATCTTTTTTCTGTTAAAAATTTACCCTAAACCTCCCTAATGATTGCTAAGTCAAATATTTAAGAAGCTTTCAGAATTTTAAAAGAACTTTTAAAAGGACAATTGTACAACTTCCCAGGAGGCATCCAGAGAAAGTTTGTATGTTGATAGATATCTGGGATTTTAAGACTCATTCTTTCTTTAACCTAATTATCAAATCTAGAGGTATTAGGTAGAGAATTCTCAAGAGTTCCTGCCTGCTGTCTTTTAGATTTTATTTCAATTTAACTTAATAAAACATAAGGTAAACATATTTGTTTATCAAAAGAATAAGGAAGCCCTAACTTATTTGGCTTCAGTGGATTGAATATTGGCCTGAGGACTGAAAGGTCTTGGGTTTGATTCTGGTCAAGGGCATATGCCCGGGTTTCAGGCTCAAGGCGGCTGATCAATGATTCTCTGTCGTCATTGCTGTTTCGCTCCCTCTCCTTTCCTCTCTGAAATCAATAAAATATAATTAAAAGGAAAAAAATTAGTAAGACTATTTTAAAAAGCAGAGGCCATATGCTCAATAACATCTATAAGATTGGAGTCTAAATGCCATTTGAGTACATCCTCATATATTTTGAAAAACTAAAAAATGAGACAGTATTTTAAGGTCTGATACTCCTAATTATTTTTATCATGTAGATTAGTGATAACTCTTAAGTTTTGGTGAGAGTGTAAATAAAATTTTGGAAGATAATTTGGCTTTGTTTTACAACTCCGAATATCAGTAATCCCATTTCTCTGTAGAGGAATAAACTAGAGAAATAAACTATTATAGACTTGTGCTAGGAGATGAGTAGTTCATAGCTGTATTACTCATGTTAGCAAAACTTGGAAACAATATCACTATTCATTGGCTGGGGAGTAAATATATAAATTGTGTCATAATTGTACAGTGTAATTCTATGTCAGTGGAATATTAATGAACCTTAGCTATACATTTATAAACACCTGGATCAGATTTAGAAATAATATTAAGTAAAAATTAGTCTCAGAAATATACAGTATGGTTCTTTTTTTTTTTTATGGAATCAGATGTTCTTCGGAAATATATATAGCCCTAAACAGTTTTCTCAGTGGTTAGAGCATCTGCCCTCAAACTGAAGGGTCACAGGCTCGATTTCGGTCATGGGCATTACCCCAACAGACTTGTTCCCTGGCCTGGGTCTGGGTGCATATGGGAGGCAACCAATTGATGTGTCTCTCTCACATGGATGTTTCTCTTTATCTCTTCTCCCTTCCATTCTTTCTAAAAATCAGTTGGGGGGTCGGGGGAGGAGAAAATACTTGCAAAATTATAAATGTAATTACGTTTATATTATACTAGAGGCCTGGTGCACCGGGAAGAAGGGGGAGGGGGGGTTTCTCTCAGTCCAGTCTGCGCCCTCTTGCAGTCCTTGACCCCTCGGAGGATGTCCTCCTGCCGGCTTAGGTCTGCTCCCCACACAGTCTGGGAACTCTTGCTCTTTACTGCTCTCCAGCTGTGAGCCTCGCTTCTGGCTGAGCAGCACTCCCCATGTGGAAGTGAACTGACATCAGGGGACAGCTCCTGCATTGAGTGTCTAGCCCCTGGTGGTCAATGCGGATCATAGCGGCCAGTTGTTCTGGTCGTTCTGCCATAACAGTCGCTTAGGCTTTTATTATATAGACTAGAGGTCCAGTACATGAAATTCGTGTATTCAGGGGGCAGTCCCTCAGCCCGACCTGTGCCCTCACACTTGGGTAGTGTGACTAAGCCAGCAGAGAGACATCCTTTGCACTGCCATGGAGGGAGGAGAGGAGAGGCTTCCCACCACCGCGCTACCCTGGCCAGTGAGCCCAGCTTCTGGTTGAGCACCTGCCCCCTGGTGATCAGTGCACACCATAGCAACCGGCTGTTCCACCATTTGGTCGATCTGCATATTATCTATCCTTTTTACAAAAGATGATTAATATTTATATAATATATGTAATACATATACAGTTATGCTGGAGGTCTTCAAGACCACCCGCTGGGTTTGATGAGTCATTGGGAATCACAGGATTCAGCATATAGTCATATGGCTCTGATTTCTTCCAGTGAAAGGACACAAAGCAACATTGGGAAAAATGAAAGGTATGGGGTGAAATAAGCACAAGACCTGCGTATTTCTGTCAGCAGTGAGTTGTGACAAGCATGAAATGTGATCTGCCAGGGAATCTTGTTAGACACTCAGCAGGGTTATCTGTGTGTTTATTTGGATTTTTTTCCATTTATTTTAGAGAGAGTGGAAGGGGGAGAGAGAGAAACAGACTTTTATGTGATGTGTGAGAGACATTGATTGGTTGCCTTCCGCCTGTGCCCCAACGAGGCCAGAGTGAACCTTTAACCCAGGTGTGTACGACTGGAAACTGAACCCTCAACCCTTCAGAGCATGGGCCAACACTCTAACCCAGTGGTCGGCAAATTGCGGCTCGCTAGCCACAGTTTGCGGCTCTGTTGACGGAGTTTGCCAACCATTGTGTAAGGCATTACCCTTAGCCAGAAGTTTTGACTTCAGATTAAAGACATCAGTACACTATTAAAATGTGTTTTTTAAAGTGGTCAGCAAACTCAGTCAACGGAACGGCAAACTGCGGCGCCTGAGCTGCATGTGGCTCGCGAGCCTCAGTTTGCCGACCACTGATCAGCACAGTCCTTGGCATCAGGTATTTGTTGTTTTTTCAGAGAGAAATGTAGAGGGAGAGAAAAAGAGGAACATCAATCATGAGAGAATCATTGATTGACTGCTTCCTGCATGTTCCACACTGGGTATCAGGCATGTGCCCTTGAATCAAACCCAGGACCCTTCAGTCCACAAGCCAACAACACACTATCCACCGAGCCAAACCAGCTTAAGGCTATTTGGGAGCTGATAATGTAGGCCGCCTCAGGTTGGCACATACCACAGTTTCAAACTTCCAAAAGGGAAGCAGGTGTTTGGGGTGGACCGTATTGTTTGTGCACACAATGAGCCACTCCTCTCAGTTGTGGGATTGATTGGAACCTTCCAGAAATCCAAGTTAATCAAGGGACAACCTTCTAAGTAAATCTTTGAAAGGATAGCAATTAGGCCTGCTATTTTAAGTCTTTCTACAAAACAAAATATTATGTATTATTACCGTATATAATATTATCTATAATAATGAAAGTGTAATATGCTACTTAGGAAGTTTTTAAGTGAGAGCATGATTTGAAGAAGCCCTTTCAAGACATTGAGAATTAAGGCCAGTCTCCTAAGCATCAGGCAGGTTTAAAACAATTATTCTGTGAAGTTGACATTTCTGCTCAAGTAATATGACTAAACAAGCACTATGTATATAGTAGCTTATTTAATTTTCACTGCCCTGTTAGTAGATTATATTCTCATTTTACAGAGAGAGAAAACTAAAGCTGAGAGAGGGAAAAAGAATATTCCCCAAAAATAGCCAGTTAGTATCAGAACTAGGATTCAAGCCAGTAACTTATAAAGATTCCAAGTTTAGTATGCCATAATAGGTGCCTTCATTGAGTACCTATTAAATTATTAGGATATGTTATAATATAGGGTGGCTTTTGGGGAAGATTGATGTATGACTAAACAAATGACACAGATTACTATGCATTTTAAAGTTCTTTTAGCTGCACTTAACTACTGCAGTCTTTAAACATTATATATGCTTTCCACTTTAATTTTAGGCTTCTGTAGGCCAAGAAATTAGATTATAAAATTTGTCAAAAAGTGAATTCTAGCCCGGCTGGTGTGCTCAGTGGTTGAGCATCTATTCATGAACCAAAAGGTTACCAATTTGATTCCTGGTCA